GCCTAAAATAAATTTGCTGGGTGGCGGTGGTGCATGTCTTTAATCCCAGCACTTGGGAGGCAGAGCCAGGAGGATCTCTATGATTTTGAGGCCAGCCTGATCCAGCGAGATCCAGGACAGGCACCAAAACTACACAGAGTAATTCTGTCTTAAAAAAGCAAAAACACAAACAAACAAAAAACATTTTTTTTATATTTTTAGCTACAGAGGGGGTAAAAAGGTACTGTTTATCTTAGTTACCAACTCTAAATGCTCCATGGGAAACTCCCAGGGTAGAGGAACGTCATATTCTCTTGTGACCAGCACTGTCCATCTCGGTGGCTGAATTCCCTCAAATGCCCTGAACGTTTCTTGCCAGGCCCCAGACCCTACTTTAAGAGTCTGCCACCCTCCAACATCACCAGTTGAAGCCACAGCCGCTGGTGGATATCACCCAACTCTCCTCCCCTCTGACACAGAAGCTCAATCGAAGAGTAAGGTTAATTTCTTTTTCTTTCTTTCTTTCTTTCTTTCTTTCTTTCTTTCTTTCTTTCTTTCTTTCTTTCTTTCTTTTTTTACTGATGTTGTCTGCATCGTATTTTATTATGTTAAAAAAAAAGTATAGTGGCGAGTTGGAAGCACATTGAAGCAACTTCCTGTCTTTAATATGACACTTCTATTAGCCTCAGAATTTCAGTTATATCCCTCAATATGACATGCTTATACAAGTCTTGAGATAAATAATATCACATTACTTTTGAATTTCATTTCTTTCATTTTCATTTGAGTCATTATGAGTCCAGAGCACTATCAAAACATTCAGGCCTGCAGCCATTGACCACTTGAATTATGAAAAGAAATGAGGCTTGTGGTTAAAAGGGTTGGTTTACCCAGACTTTGATTAAATTCTTACTGACTCTTGAGACAATAAATTTTGAGTCATTTGGGCCTCAGGTTTACCACCCTTAAGGGTCAGACAGTAGGTGGGAATAATGACAACTTTGCAGAGTTGGTATTAGTTGTGTGAGAAAGGTGTGAGTGGACCCAGCAGAGGACTTGGCAGCATGCATGTATTAGCAGATAGTGTAGTGGATAACCCTCATTATCAACCTCACTAGTTTTAGAATTACCATGGAAACGTATCTCGGGTGTAGCTATGAAGGTATTTCCAGAAACATCTAATTGAGGAGACTCACCCTGAATGTTGATGGCATCATTTCATAAGATCAGGTCTGAGACTGAAAAAAGGAGGAGGAGAGGAAGAGGGAGAAGGAGAAGAAGAAGGAGGAGGAGAAGGAGATGGAGAAGAAGAGGAGGAGAATGAAGAAGAAGAGGAAGAAGAAGAAGAGGAGGAAGAGGAAGAATGAGAGGAGGAGGAGAAAGAAGAGGAAGAAGAAGAAGAGCAAGGTGAATAAGAAGATGAAGAGGAAGAAGAGGAAGAGGAGGAAGAAAAAGAAGAGGAGGAGGAGAGCTGGGCACCAATGTCAGAAGCCAGCTCTGACGTGTTGAAGGGTTCTTGGGGAGAGGAGTGAGGAATGAAGAAGTATTAGACAGAAATATAGGCCTAGACAAAGAGAAAGACGGAGACACATAATAACTTCAGGAGGGTCCTGAATCAATACCCAGTTGCCCTGACTTTATTCATAATGGACCTTTTATACATCAGCAAAAGACCTCCCCGTCCCAAGGTCAAAGTATAAAGTATCAACAAGTGTAGACCCTTCAAAGCACCAGGCAACCACGCCTTTGGCCAAATCATCCTATCACGCAGCCCTGTTGGGCAAAGCAAGCTCAGGCTTTCTGAGCTTGAGTAAGGCCTTACTAGGGAGCCTCTGTGGGCTCCCCCACAGCAGCATGCATCTCCTTCGGCTTCCTGACCATAGAGACGATGTGACCAGCTGCATCACACTCCAACTACCCCATGATGCCTCCCATAGCAGGGTGGACTGTACCATCAAACTGTGAGCCAAAACAAACCCTTTCCTTGGACTTAGCTTTTGTTAGATATTTTTGTCCCAGTGGCAGAAGTGAATCTACAGACAGTAACATTCACTTCCTGTGTCACCTTTAGTGGCCCCTGGGCTCCATCTACCTCAGTCTGCAGAGATTTGGGGTCCACTTGAGTGTAGGCTTGTTCTTCAGATGTGGGAAATGCATAATGGGTTACTTGTTACATGGACTGGTTTTTGTATCTTGTCTTTTTATTCATATTACACACAAGAATAGAGTCAAAGTAACTAAACTATATCCCATAGAGTCCTGAAAATTAACACAGTGTGCAGTTTGGAAGTTTTTGTAGAAATCAAGAGAATAATTCATGCGACTTTGTTGAGTGACCTGGGAGATAAACACGTTACAACCCAGACTGCCATTAATGACTTACCTTTATGACTAGAAGCTTACGGTCTACATACACCATCCAGTTCTTTTTTCAGCTAAATTCTCATTATTATGTTCATGCTTTTATAGATGAGGGTATTTTGATAATTTTTAAAGTTGTCAGCTTTACAATTATGAGAACATTTATTTATTTATCTTTCTATTAAAGAATATAAATGGCTATGTGAGGAATGAGTTCAATGTAAATATCTTACACCAAGGGATACATTGTCTTCATTCTAGTGGGAAAATAACATTTCTGAGGCAATACAGGCATTTGAAAATCTCATTTCTTTTGAATCAGGCACTCATAAAGCTTCCACTATCCTCAAAACCCACAGAATACATGCACTCATTGGCTTAAATGGTACTATTTGATCATGGCTTCAGTAATTAGTTATAGAATTCTGAACATTTATATCACTTTTTATCATTCATTAAATGATCAAGTATGAGGCCACTAAAAATAAAACTTTCCATCTGACTTGCCTTCTCAAAGATCCCTGCCTCCTTCCCTCCCTCCCTCCCCAGCCCCAGCCTCTAGCCACAGAAGTGACTCCCCTGGTAGATTGAAGACTTGAGGGACTCTCCCTCCGTGCCTTTCTATTAGGGCTGTATCTCCAACACTATCCCTTCCACTTTCTGTTCCCAGTACTCTGTCATCTCTCGCCTCACACAGACCTGGCCCATGGGAACCCCAGGTTGTTAGGAGCTCTTGGGTGGCAAAGGGTTTGGTGGAGGAGCCTCTTCAGCTGACGGAGAGTCACATCCTCTTTGGAGCTGCCCATTTGCAGGCTCATGTCCTTTTCCATATGAGTCAGGGCAAGGATGCGACCATGTGAGAAGCTGGGGACAGGCTAGGTCACAGCAGAAGGAGGCGCCATTTGTTCACTAAGAACCCATCTCGCATGGATACAGTCTCAAAATGTCTTGACCAAACATACAAAGGCGTTGGCATTGGGATGTGTTAAATGTTGTCACAGGAGGGAATGTAAAGGAAGTATTATAGAAAGAGGCATGCTCAGGGGGCCTCCTTCTGTGCTGGCTGGGGTCAGTCATCCATTATCAGCAGATGCCCCTCCCACGAGCCCATCAGCTCCTCTCCCAGACTGCAAAGGGAGAGATCTACTACGCATTATGTGCGCGTGTCTTTTCCAACCCGCAGTAAAAATAAATAAATAAATAAAAATCCGCTTGATTTGTATGTTTGAAATTGCAGTGAAATTTTTAGAGTAAAAACATTCTCAGGATAAGACAAGGAAGGACATTCTCAGGATAAAACAAGGCACGTTGTAAGTGGTTCTTACACCCGCCTAAGTACACTCACCTTCAATGCTTTGCGCAACATCTATGAAGAATGATCTACTGCCTTGTGTTGGTGAGGGAAGTGTTTTATATGGTGGTAAATGCATTGACCTACCGTCACACTACGATTAGAATTCAATCCTTGGGTCTGACTTCCAAGTGTCCTGCAAAGGAAATCAGCTTTGAATTTATATTGAGATTAACATAAACTAATGGGTCTTAAATTATGGAAGGTATTAAGAGTCTAAAAGAAACCAGGCTGGAGATGAGTGAATATTTGAATACTTTTCTATTATTATTTTCATTATTATTAATGATGCCCCCCTCCCCAGCGGTATATTTTAGGATATTGGTGAGCCTTGACCTTGAATGCCATCCCATCGTGACATTATTAACTGTCAGAAGAACTGATAGCTTTTAGAAAGCGCAGCAGGGATGAAATTACTTCCCAGCCAGAACATGGTTGACAGCACAGATGGATGAGAGGGATAAGAAGGGCCACAGAGGAGACCTCAGGCTTCTGCCCCTCCAATCTCCCCAGTCAACCCAGCTAAGCTCCAGTTAGCATCTGTGTTTTCCCTGTAGTGACTGAACTCTAATGCTAGGAGGAGCTGAGGGCTCCTCTTTTATTTCTGCTGGCCACAGAGCTAGCGAACACAGACTTGTATGCCCCCTTGTTAAATAAGGAGTGGGTCTTTGCCTCTGTCCCAGCTAAGAAGCAAAGTGATTAGGGCAAGCAGATTGAGGCAAACCTGGTTTTATTTCTGTGGAACAAGTACTTGCAAAGGAGCTGAGACGCTTTGAACTTGAGAGTGGGCTTAGGGCCCACTAAAGCTTTTGAAGGCTCCGCTGACTTCCAGGGCGTCAAAACAGTCTGTGCAGATGTCAGAAATGCTGTGGTCTGCTGATAAAATGGAAATGTAGAAAAGAGAAATGAAAGTGATAATTTTTTAAAATCTAGAGTATAAGTACTTCCTAGAAATATATATATATATATATATATATATATATAT